TGCACATTGGTTTAACTGGGCAGCGCTATACCGCGTGACGCCAGTCGTCGGCTGAAACGGGCGAATCGGCTACAGTAGCCCACTATCGGACAATATCCGAACCATCGGTTTGAGGGTTGCAAGGAAGTGGACACTATCCCAACCCCTGAATCTCACGCGCGCTGGACTTCATATAAACGCTGGACGTTTGAAACTTGGGATGCCGCGGTCCTGGGCGCTGCCCACCCGGACTTCCTGTTGTCCTTTGTCCGGGGACATTGGACGGCTTCTGGATGCTGTGAACGCTGGATGCTGCCATTCTGGACGTTTCGACCACTAGACGTTATGAGCTCTGGACGTTTCAATACGCATCCTTTGCTTCACTTATCGATTCTGGAAAATAAGGAACGTTCTCAGGCAAGCATGGGATAACCTTGTTCGTTATTTAGCTCATTCTAACCCACTCTATTCATTGATAATGAGCCCCTTATTTCGTTCCGGGCAGGGGCCACTTGAATAGAACACTAGGGGCTGATCACTGTTCCCATTAAAGGTTGAAGGGCCATTCCGTCCCATGGTGGGGTGTCTTCTGACTGCCGTTCTGAAGACAAGAGACGGGATCCCCTTGTCGATCCGGAAGCCCTTGGAGATATACATCATACCACCTTAGTCACCTCCCTGGCGCGGGGTGCATTCTGACCCGCGCAGTTGGCCCCGGATCAACAAAGGAACACTCAATGACGCAATAAGATCCCTGACCGCCGCAGGTGGTGCAATAATTGTCATACAGTCTCCAGTTCCAGAGTTATTTCAGTGTTCTTCAGAGACGTCGAGAACCCCTGAACGTAGATAGTGAAATGAAATGTAGTGACATGGCTAACCCATGTTCGTCTTAAACACTCCACATTCGGCCAGAATTGATTACTGAGAGAAATTATGTAGGATGGTTTGAACATGCGCATTCGCAAACCTTAGCAACAGCAGCCTCCACACTGGCGTTGCAGTCTCCACACGTCGCGCAACATCGACGCTGCGATTGGGACGGTAAGTAATGGTCAGCGGGCAAACGAAAAAGATGACGCATTCAAGAAAAATGGCTGGTAAACCAGGTAAACCGATATGCATGCTAAAGGTAGCACAAAGGCAAGCCAAGCGCAACATAGTTCTGAGAAGTGGGGGCCAGCTAACATCGCTGCTCCCCCCACCTTGAAAAATGGGGGGCCATAGGCCCCCCATTAGCCCATAGGCGTTTTGATGACCTATGACCTGACTCAAGGTCACCATGTTTTGGAAAGGACTTTTTTTTGGTAAAAGTTTTGTGGTGATTTGACATCGATTGGTAAAAGTTTTGTGCCGAACAGCCCGATAGCCTCGGAGCATGGGGCTACCTGTAAGCTTTCTTCTGGTTTTCCCGATTTTCTGTAACTTTTGATCTGACCTAAAGTCGTCATATTCCGGAAAAGATGAGTTATGGATTGTGTGTCATCGATTGGTAAAATTTGGTGTTGATCGGTGCGCAGTGATTAAGCGCAGGGCATACCAACAGGTTTTGTCGGTCGTTCAGTCCTTCCCCCAGATGAACGTCCGTCAATCTAGCAGCGGAGTAATGTCCAACTGCCAGTTGAATGTTCCGGGGCGTCACGATCGCCTCAAAATTTGGTGTGCAGGACGTTCTCGACACGCTGATTCCGAAAACCACTGACTTTGGGATGCGATTTTACGTAACTACCGAGTTATAAGGCGCGTAACACCGCCAGATCGACGTTGCGGGGAGTCTCAATTGCCTCCAATTTTGGTGTCCAGGGCCTTCGCAACACGTTGATTACGAAAATCATTGTCTTTGGGATGGGATTTTGTGTAACCTCCGAGTAACAAAGCGCGTAGCATGGCCAGATCGACGTTGCGGGATGTTTTGTTCGCCTGCAGGTGCAGCGCTTTCCCAATACGCTGATACTGAAAATCGTTGTCTTTGGGTTGGGGTTTTGTGATCTTTGGAATCAGCGCGTTGAGAAGACCCTGCGCACTAAATTTGGAGGCAGTCGAGACGCCCCGCAATATCACACTGGCGTCTTACGCG